TTAAATTATAAATGGCAATTTTAGTCTGAAGTCGTCTATATTCCGGAATTTTTTTAATCTCTTTAACTAGTGACAAACAAAACAGCTTGTCTTCATCATCATCTTTCGGATGTGAAACATTTTTCTGTGCTAAACTCTGCTCTAAAATGCTGGCAAATCTTTCGTCAGCAGAGCTTATTTTTTGTTTTTTTCTTGGAGTAGATTTAGGACTCTTGAAGGCAGAACTTACTCCTATTTCAGCAACTTCAGACGAAGCTGATGCATTTTCTGCATCGAAACTACTTTCTGTATCGTTGTTGGCTATAGATGCCTGTAGAAATCGTAGTCTATTATAATGAATATAAGACGAAGTTTTGGAAGCTCCTGATCCCGATTTAACAGTCTTCATTTTCTTCACCTCTCTCATATAATTATCTCTTAGACTCTTCCATTTCTTTTGCAGGGATGACGCTGAAAAAAAAAACAGTATTTAGTAATAGTATATGTTCTTTTCAGATATTTGGCCACAGGATGTTCACTTGGGACATTAAGCTACGATTATAGAATTGGCAAATCTACTGTGGCTACCATAATACCACATGTATGTGAAACTATTTGGAGAAAATTGAGACCCATTGTTATGAGTGAACCAACGAAAGAAAAGTGGTATGAAATATCCTCGATATTTCAAAAGAACTCAAAGTTTCCCCATTGTTTGGGAGCCTTGGACGGGAAACATATACGGTTAATCCAGCCTGAACACTCGGGTTCCATGTATTATAACTACAAAAATTATTTTTCGCTAGTTTTAATGGCGCTAGCGGATGCAAACTATTGTTTTGTGTGGGTTGACATAGGTGCCCACGGTAAAAACAGTGACTCAGGTATATTCAAGAATTCTTCATTGTACAAAAAGCTGACAGAAAGGTCATTAGACCTACCTGAGCCAAAGGCAATGTTAATACCAAATAGACCGACAGTGTTGCCATATGTGATAGTGGCTGATGAAGCTTTTGCCATGATGGAGAATTTAATGCGGCCATATGGGGGAAGGTCACTAAGTTATGCTAAAAAAATATTTAATAACCGTTTGACATTAGCCGGTATGTTGAATGTACTTTTGGAATAATGTGCAATAAATGGCGCATTTTACATAGGCCGTTAGATGTCAACATCGGATTTGCAGAAAAGATAGTAAAAGCGATATGTACACTACACAATTATGTCAGAATGAGGGATGGCTACAATTATGAAGATACACTGTATACCCCACCACTAGAAAATCTAGCCTCACATTATACCGGGCGTGCTGTGTGGCAGGCGGATAATGTTCGAGTACATTTAACAAATTATTTCATCAACGAAGGAAAAATTGATTGGCTAGATGGCAATATTTAATTTCTAACACAAACTGATTGTGAATGTAAATAAATATATGTACTCACATAATAATTTCTTCTTTTCTGCATTGTCATCTCCTTCACAAAATATGAGGACGAGTTCTTCCCAAGCCTGTCTCTTAAGGTTCCTATTTGAATAATCGCTTTTTGTCATGTCCCAAATCGCAGGACGTTTCTCTATTTCATCTATAAATAATTCCGTATTAAAAACTTCGGTTTCCATTTCGGACGATTTTTGGACGGACTGATACTGAAGAACCCTAAAATACGTCTATCCGCGTCGAAAGCGCGCGCTCAACTGAACGGAAATATAGAAAGCCAATGATCTCAAGGCGCGCGTTGACGCGCGTTGACAACAGTCGAGCGCTAGCGATGCGTTCAACGCGCGCTGTATTAAAACGCGCATTAAGCGTCGATGACACGGGGCTAGTTTACAAGCTGCTAGTCGGCGAGTTCGCGAGTAGCTTGTAAACTCGCTCCGTGTCATTGAGCTTTTAACAATCTGCTTTTAAAAATCCGATTGTAAAAAAGCAACTTGAAAAAATAGAAAGCCGGGCTAATTTACTAGCCACTCGCTGGCGTGTTGGCGTGTAAGCTAGTAAACTAGCTGTGTGTCATCGTCGCTGCTAATGAACTAGTTGCAAGCATCTTTGTGTTTTGGCAGTTGTCAAAGGAATTATGTCAAAGGAAGTAGTTCGTGCGGGAGTAGTTATTTTAGCTTATGCTATGAAGAAGGATTTACAACGAAAACTAAAGAAAAACAGGAAACAGAAAAGAAAATGGGTAAGATCGTGGATAGAAAAACGCGATGAATATGGTGCTTCCAGTGGTTTATTGAGAGAGTTGAAGGACCAAGATCCTTCGGCCTATAGAAATATGTTGAGACTAAACAGTTCCAAATTTGATGACTTACTGCAGATGGTAGATGGAATGCTCAAAAAAAATGATACGACAATGAGACCGGCAATACCAGTTACCATGAAATTGGAAATAACATTACGTTATCTAGCCACGGGCGATTCTTTGAAGTCTTTAGAATACCTGTTCAGAGTTCCGGAATCAACTATATCGAAGTTTTTACCTGAAGTGCTAACAGCAATTTCTCGTGCCCTTCGACCGTTCATTCAGGTAAGTGAAAATTACTACTGTAGCACACCAAACATGCAATTCATAACATCCAACTAAGTGGTCGTATACATATTACACTACAAAATTAAACACCAGTTTTATTAAACAATGTATTTGACGACAATTTAAATGTTTCCACTAAATGCATTAATAATGGCCTGCTGCAAGACATCTCCATCGCTATTTTCATCGTTTAACGATGAGGCACTAGTAGAAGGCAAAGAAAATTGCGAGTGTGCACTTTCGACACAATGTGGGGCCTGCTGATCTAATGATAACAGCTTATAACGAATAATGCAGTTTTGGATTTCCTGCTGTAGCAAGATGGCTTGTCGCTGTGGCAGAAGACGGAGCTCAGATGCAACTAATTTTCCGAACTGGTCATAGGGCTTCTCATCTGATGACTCCTTGGCAATTTCATCCAATTTTTTTAAAGCTTGCGATATTTCAGTAGTTTCTTCGGATGCTGATCGTTTTTTAGACCTTTTCTTTGGCGCCGAGGGTGGTCCCATTTTTTCAGGCGACTTAGGACGTTCTTCTAAGAAGACGTCGTTGTCATTTTCAGACTCGACACTTGTATTGTCTTCATCTCGTGCTGTGTCTTGACTACTTTGTGACAGTTCCTAGAAAATACAATGAAATATAACTTTTATTTGTTCTCAGGTCCCAAAACAAGCTGATGAATGGAAAGAAATCGAAAATAAATTTCTTCAGCGTTGGAATTTTCCTAGATGTTTTGGTGCAATCGACGGGAAACACGTTATCGTCAAGAGGCCGCCGTGTTCCGGTTCAGTCTATTTCAATTATAAAAAAACCTACAGTATAATATTATTTGCTATGGTTGATGCCGATTACTGTTTTATTTACATAGACGTAGGTGCAAATGGACGAGCAAGCGATAGTGCTATATTTAGAGATAGTACATTGAATATTGCGATAGAAAACAAGACTCTTGGCTTGCCTGAATACGGCGTTATTACTGGAGATGATGCTTTCCCTTTGAGGACAAATCTTATGAAACCATATAGTAAAATAGGTCTTAGTGCTGCCGAAAAAATATTCAATTATCGTCTTTCCCGTGCCAGACGAGTCGTAGAAAATGCCTTTGGCATACTAGTATGGCGTTTCAGAATATTTTCAAGACCGATTGATTTGGCGCCAGAAACTATCGATAAAGTCATTTGGGCTGCTTGTTGTCTTCATAACTGGCTAAGAAAGACTGATCCTGGTAACTACATGCCACAACAAGCAGTAGACGGAGAGGACTTGAATACCGGAAATATCACACCTGGACTTTGGAGGGAAAATGCTACTAATATGCAGCCTATTAATCATTTACGTGGAAATCATTACAGTCGAG